GAATATTATTATTATTATTATTAAAGGAAAAAACAGTTCTGTGTTGCAAGGAAGACAACATTGTTCTTTGATTACTTAAGTAATTCTGCACTTTCGGTTCCAGCTATCCTCTCTGTTTCCACCCCATCGCAGTTCCTCTCTCTCTCTCTCTCTCTCTGTCATACTGTTACTCTGCTTTTAAACCTTCTTCCCACCTCCTGCAGCCCTAACTTTCTCACCCTGTGTTACCCCTTTTCTCCATCCTCCTTTCCCTTGTCAGTGACAGTGTATTGCATTGTGGGTAGTTTTACCAGACATTTGCTCCTTTCCTTGTACAGTGATGCCATGTATAGAACGCTATTGCAATTTCTGTATCAAATCTTTTCTTTTTGTTACTTTTTTTTGGTTGTTTTTAGATGTCGCTGGGGAGGCTTTTTTTTATATTGGTATTGTTTATCATTTGTATTTTTTGGATGTCTTCAAAATGTTTTCTTTTTGTTTTTTTTGTTTTGTTTTTGTTTTAATGAATCTTGAGATTTTTAGCCAAAAGAGGACAGAGAGAAGAGAGACAGTGCTCTTTCTGTGTCGTAAAAAAGATTGTTCTTATTTGTTTTAATATTATATCGAGACACTTGAATAAGAGGAGAGTAATTATTTTGTGTTTCTTTTTAAAGTATCATTTCAATCGATGTTGTGACTGTCATTCTTGTTGATGTTGGGCCTGTTTTCTGTTAATGGGGTAGTTGTGGCAGGCTATACAGGGTCAGGCTTTGGGCTTTGTCTGGGTTGGTTCGGGTGCTACAGAGACTTAACACTCTTAAAAAGAAAAAAAGACAAAAAAAGACACAAAACGAAGGAATAACTTGTAAAATAGCTGACATATCATCCTAAGCATCACAAGTGTGGAGACGGACAAACCCACTTCTCTTTCTCTCTCTTGCTGCCCTGCCTATCTGCTGTGATCCTTCCACCATCTTTTACTACATCGGCTTCTGATCGGATGGCGCCTTACGGACATGGCCCCTCCTCCCAAACTAATCTTGTCACTCTGGCAACCAAGGAGGAAACTACAGCTACTATTATTCAACCCCCCTCCTCCTCTCCCCTCTTTTGGTTTTCTTGGACTTGCGTCGTTTTCAGCCTGGCTTTGTTCTCCTGCCCCAAGCCTGGAAGGGAGAACGGAGGCAGGGTTTCATTAACGGTTGATGGATCTTGTTGCAGTTGGATACACCTGGACGCACCTCCAAAACCATAAAAGGGAAACATTTCAGCAGGTGACTTTAGGAATAAACTGTTTGAATTGGACTTCCACAGCAGAGGAATACAAAGTCGTGGTCAGAGCAGGGCTGGCTGTGCCCACCTTAAACGGGTCCGCCAAGGTCTGTGCCCTAAGCCGAGTCGGGCTCAAGCACAGCCGGACGGAGAATGCAGCACACTGGGGACCACAGCAGAAGATTTGAACTCCTGTCTCTTTCTCCCTTTTTTTTAAATTGAATTTTATTGTTTGACCTCTATTTATCCTCCCATATACAATACCCTGGGATACTGAGTCTGTATTGGGCTAGCAAGAGACTGGCGCAAAAAATAAAGCTCCACTCGTATGTGTTTATACTGGCCGGATTTCACAATAACCTGGCTGCTCGGTTGACTTTTCGTATGCTATTTACATCTGAGAGCTGCAGATGTTGTCTTGCAGCGCCTGTGCTTTCCATTCGCACCCATGTCACTTCCTGTTTACCAAACATCCACTCTTCGTCAGAGCAGGTGGGACTAGCGTCAGCGGTAAATCTAAATCTCTTCAAACAAAGAGTGCAATACAGAGTGGGTTGGATTTTCTGAAATGAACTCGATGTGAGATGTTTTCTGTTTTCTTCCCAAACTGAGTTAACGTCTCTTTGGGCGGAAGAAGCTTGTTTCCATTCCATTTAGATCTCATTCATTCCTCTTTCAGATCTGCCCTACTGTTTTTCTCTCATCGTTTACACCAAGCCAAAACTGACATCTGGATGAGAAAGAAACTGAGTACTTGTGAGTACTTGTTGGGAATTGGAGAGGAAACGGCTGGAATGGAATACATTGCATGTCTCTTGTCCCACGGCAGGATAGAAACTCTAAAGTTACAAACCAGAGGTTCCACTTTGTCTAATATCGTGACCGGTGGCGGAGCTGTTGTTTCGGGGAAGAGCAGAGGCACACAGGAAGGGACAGCTGGAGTGGATGGAAAGCACTGCAGATGATTCAGAGGTAATGGGGAGCAGAGCGCTGTTTCACATACACCTTCTGCCTGATCAGACTGACCCTTCTCCTCCCTCCTTTCTTTTTTCTGTCTTAACTCTTCCATCCCTCCTCCTCTCTTTTCTCCTCCCTGCTCAGCAAGCCAGCTCTCTGCTCTACTCCTGTTTCTTAGGTCATTTTGTTTTCTATTGGTTCATTTTGTCTTTATTTGTTTTTATGTTCATTTCTGTTGAGTACAAAAATACTAAAGTGCAACAACAATGATTAAAAAGAATATCAACCAAACTGAGATGAATAAATAAATATATATAAATAAAGAAATAATTTAAAAAGGTCATGACTTGTGTGTCTCTTTGTTGCTTCTCTGGATTCAGCATTATACGTTCTTACAGTGCAGTTTCAGAAGTCACTTAGAAAGCTCCATGTCGCTGGAAGACCATAAAGGCCTATGACTGTTGGCATGTTTTACCCTGCAAGTTGTGTTTTTTTTTTGGGGTCAAGTTTTCTTGTCAGACTGAAAATAAATATGCCGAACATAATCTAATAATGACGCAGGTGCACATCGATTTGCAAAATAGCCACACAATGGAGTAGCAGTTTAGATTTCAGTTTTAGCACAGGTAACAAAACACATAGACATGAATACATTAATGGGGAAGAAAAGGATTGTGAAGGTGAGTCTGGGAAAAAAAAAAGCAAATGGAATCTCCCAAAAACTGACAGTTATAAAAAATAAACCAGTGACAAATGAACTGAAATTAGATTTAAAAAAAAAATTAGAAATAAAAAAAAGTAAACAATTGTAAAACACCCCAGCATGACAGGACAAAATTGAGAAAACCAAAGATTATGAATAAAATAAACAAAGTTACTGTACATGACTTGGTCTTGAGTCACAACTTTGCTAACATTAGACTTGACAAAATCAGAAAAGACCGATGACTCGTGACTTTACTAAGACTTGAGCCTTTTGACTTGAAAACACTTGATACAGCCCCCCAGATGAAAAGGTATGTTAATTACAAAGTCTGCAACAAATCAATCAATTCTGTTCATTTTCTTAAACAACTGTTAACGTTACTCATTCCACTTAGTATGAACCAGTCCCACAGCATCCAATCAAGTTGCAGGAGAGAACAATGAAGATAAAAGTTACAATAAAAGAAATGACACTGAAGATCATTGTATTATCCCCGTTCTGTTGTAGAAATGGCAGTACGTGAAGAGCGCATTGTAACTTGTTTAGGACTCGAAACTCAAAGTCTAGGACTTGGGACTTGACTCGGATGAATTGTTCGTGTGAGAGGATGATGTCCGAATTTTTGAGGACGATACTGAAATCAAGAGAGTTAAAAAAAAACAAAAACAATAACATATATTACATACAGAGCGAGACAGTTTTTTATTGTTTTTTTTTTACATACACACATATAAACCATATGGATTGCTGGAATTAGTTTATTTTTAGCAATAATGATAAAGATACATACAGAGGGAGACAGTTTACAGTACAAACCAACTCATCAGTGCTCTCTGGAGGACAAACTATGTAATGTCTGACATATACACTGATACTGGTATATCTGAAATAATCTCTAATATTAGCTGATATCTGTCTGACCGTCCACTGCGCTTTATCGGATGGAGAACTGACAGGAAGTAGGTCTAAATCTCTGAGTCTCTAATGTATATAGAATAAAGAAAGGTTGTAGATGAGTGATACAGTTCTTTAAACATGAATGTTAACGTGTTTGCAGTGACTCTTTGTTCTTCGGTGTGTGTACGTTCAGGAGTTACCTGTCTGGTTCTAGCACCAAGTTACAATACTGGTGGGAAGTGTCCTAAATGTGCAGCTTCTTTCATCACCTCGTGAAGTCTATAGATGTGTCCTAACCTTCTGTTGACCTTGTTCCACGGATGCCTGAAGTTCTAGGAAAAGGATATTTGATGGCCTTCCCACCAAACCATGTTTTCCAGGCAGAGAGGAACTTCAGGACAGAGTTTCCTCAGAGGTATAACAGGCTTCTTCTTCAAAGCGCCAAAACAAAGCCAGTGATTTTTATTACGAGGAAATGGGATAAAAATGAAAATGACAGAACTTCCTGAAGAGTAATTTAAGCTTGGATTTTGGCATTAGCACAGGAAATATACCTGCTCTGGGACTTTCTTTTGTCTGCCTTTTGGCTGCAGTGCTCTGTGCACTGCTGCTCAGGTCTGTACAGCTGCACTGCAGAGGCTTTTCAGTCCAAAGTAATTGAGCTCAGACACCGTGAGCCGTGTGGAGTTTCTGTCTTTGCATATGAGGGGTTACTTTAACATGCCTGATGATGGACGGGAATGATGGAGGACAGGAAGAGATCTGTTTATCCCTCTAAACTGACGATTAACTCTCCTCTATCCACCACAACTCTATGTTCAATCACCCAATTGATTGTTAATGATGTTTTGAGCTCCTTCTATTCTCCTCTCCTCTCTTCTCCTCTCTTCTTCTCTCCTCTCCTCTCCCACATCGCTTTTTTCCTTCCCTCACGACTCTGTACCCACTCTCCTCTCCCTCCTCTTCTCTTTCTTCATCCTCTGCTCCCTTCCCCTTCCTTCCCTGCCTCCATTCTCTCCTCTTTCTCTCCTCAGCCGCCCACTCCTTTCCACTCTCCCTCCCCTCGTCCCCTCCTCCCATCCCACTCTCCCGTCCTCAGAGTGGCGGCAGCGTGACTGCCTGCGTCAGCCAGCCCCTGCCAGCTAGTGAACGCTGCTACTGAAGCTGCTGTACCCTGCAGAGAGCCTTGTGTGTGTGTGTGTGTGTGTGTGCGCATGTGTGTGAGAGTGTGTATGAGTGTACGCAGATGGGAAAGCAACTGAGTCAGGGAGGGCTACCTCTCATCTTGCTGTTATCACCATCCTTCACTCTCCCTCCTCTCCTCCTCTGCTGCCATGGAGCTCCAGCAGGCTGAATCACAACAGCGTCTGCAGAAAGGGCTGAGGTAATACTGTGTGTGCGTGTATTCAAGCGCCTACATCTGCATTGAAATGTCTGCATGCAGCCTTACAAAGTGAAGTATGTGTATGTGTTAGACCTGCAGTGTAATGTGTGCCCCCTTGCTGCATATCATAGTGCTTGTCCGTGCAATCCCAGCCTCCTCAGCCTGAGGGCATAAAGCTGTAACGCCTTCTATCGTGTGTGTGTTCAAAATAATGTTCTTGGTCGTGTCAATATGTGCAGGATGGCTCAGTTCCTGCTTTCGTCCGAGGTGCTCACATAGATCACGTGACTGCAAGATTGCAAGCAAGCACTAGACATTACTCATTCCCCACACTTACTGTATGTGCCTGTGCACAATCACCAAGCGGGCCTGTGAATGTTTTGTATTGCTGTGACGGAGTAAGTCTGCAGACCAAAGCAGGCAGTGAGCAGGCAGTGAATAACTGTGAATCGGAAGGCACGTCACTGTTTGTTAAAACTCTATTGTGCTGAGACTTCATTTGAAAGTTTCATTTCAGTAGCTACATCTGCTTTGTGCATCTCAAGCTCACCCATACAAACCTATGGAGGACTGAAACTGCCA